GGGTTTCCCCAAAAGAGGCTCCTTCCCACACTAATAGCCCTGACTCACACAGTTTCTTAATTTCCTTAGAAGCCCTTCACATGTCTGTAGGGGCAAACTTCCCTGGAAGGCCTGACATTTTGTACCCAAAGGTGGGGAAGTGGGGAGAAGTTGCTTCTGCCCCAAATAAATCTTTAAACAATCTCCTTGTCTTCATTCTCACTTCCAACCCCACATTCCAACCAGCCATCTCTAAGCCCAGGCCCCTGTAGTTCTGACAGGCTTAGTCCAATCTTTACCTCCCCTCCCCCCGCCACCACACACACACACACACACACACACACACACACACACACACACATCCTGGTCACTCTGCAGCCTCCCTGGGCTTCCTCTGGACTGGAGTCTCCATCTCTCTATTTCCTCCCCCAACCTACCCCACACCCTATCCATCTTGCTGGAATTCTTGAAATCTCACACATGCTGAAGGATCCCCTTAGAACCTCTTCACTTTGTGAGCTTATTTCTTTTATTATTCCTTTTAATGTAATTGTAATGGGCTATCAAAAGAGTACAAAATATGCTGTCTATTGTCTTCAGCCATACACTTGAAGGAACTTATAATAAGATAAATAGATTTACAGTCACTTGTGTCCCTGTGACCTTAGCATGACTGTTCTCATCTGTGAGTGGGCAGAGTTATATCTATGTCTCTCTATGTATTACACATGATATTTTGACTTTTTTCTTTAGTGCTATGAAGTCTCTGTCTTTACCATCTTGATAAATGCGTGAACCTCCAAGAAGAACCTATATCAACCTCTTCAGAGCACATCAGGTGTTGTAGGTGTCATTAACCCCATTTTGATACGAGAAAATTTGGAGGCAAAGTCACTTAGCAAAGTTGCAAGTGCTGAGTCAGGAATGAGAAGCTATGTCTGCCTCATTCCAAATCCTGTTTTCTTTGCTCATGAGATTGTTCTGGGGATTAAATGAGATAAAATGTGTGGAGCTCATAGCATAAGTTTGGTAAATGTAATTGTCATTCTGGTTCCCCCTTATTAGTCACAGCTACATACCCCAAATCCCTCCCTTCTTTTAGCCAAAGAGAATAAAAGCCTTCAAACCTTCTCATTTATGGTTTCTTCTCAGAAAGATCTCTGTGCCTCTGGGAAAGGGGAGAGGCTCCTGGAGTCTGCTGTCACTTATCTCTCTGTGCTTCTCTGGACCCCCCTCCCCATTCCCACCCTATGCTCCTCATTACTCACAGCTTGTGGAAGCCTTAACCAACCAAACCCCTGCTTCCTCTCTCCTCTCCTCTTAAAATATGCAGAGCCACAGTTCAGTTTTCTTAAAAGCTTCCAACTTGCCAATCAGTTAAGTTAAGCCAAGTTCCTGTGCTAATGGAAAAGAACCAGAAAAGGGGCCAAGGAGAAAATATTTGCAATACATATGAAAAGGTGTTGTTGTCTTTTGTGTATAAAGAGCTGAAATAAATCAATAAGAAAAACATTAACCACCCTTCTGAATGAGAAAAAACACAAACAAAATATTCACCCAAAAGAACATGCAATTTCTAAATAAGCATGTAAAAGTATTTTCAGTCCCACTAGTAATCAAGAAAATGCAGTCAAATAATTACATATTTCTCATCTACAGAATTATCAATATTTAAAATCTAATGCTTGATCCTGGCAAGAGGCTCTGAAATGAACACTCAGCCACAACTCATGAATGTATCGAAAGCTTGAAACATAGTCTTGTAACCTTTGATCCAGTTGTTCCATTACTGGGATACAAGCTAAGGAAAAAATATGAAAGGCAGGGCCAGGGTGGCTGGTTGGCTCAGTAGGTTAAGCATCTGCTTTCCACTCAGGTCATGATCCCAGGGTCTTGGGATCAAGCCCTGTGTCAGTCAGGGAGTCTGCTTCTCCCTCTCCTTTGCTCACGCTCTCTCTCGCTACCTCTGTCTCCCTCTCAAATAAATAAATAAAATCTTTGGGGGAAAAATACGAAAGGCAGATATTTATGTTCATATGGTTTATCACAGCAAAGAAAAGGAAGCAACTTAGTAATTAAACAAATTAAAGAGCTTTGTACTTTTATATGGGAAAATGGTCATGGCATAATGTTTGGTAGTGAAAACTCAGCACTTAAAATCACATAATCAGTAACATCTCAGTAGTATAAAGCAAATGTCCACAAACGTGTAAGAGACTAGAAATAAATATACCTCAATGTGCTAGATATTATGAGCAATTGTTAGAGTTTGAGATTTTTTTTTTAACCTCTCTGTTACTTTTTTTTTTTTTAACACAAAGAACATCTATCACTTTGATACAGGGCCAAACTTTTAATTAGAAATTTTAAAGGACCCAAATAGAATCTGCCTGCCTCTATCTGTAAGAGCTCACAGACAGGGACTGCAGTAGGGCCCCTCCAAGAAGGAACCAGCACTGAGTGTGTGTTCGTTTGGGTGGGGATAAAGCAGGCAGGGATGCCCCTGCCATGGGCAAAGCCTGCTCTATATAGTTCTGGGAAGGAAGCAAAAATTCCCCTCTGGGACTCCATCACACCCTCTCACTCTGGAGGAGCTCAGCAGCTTACCCCAGCCACATCCTGCACATATTACTAAGGCTGCCAGAACTGAGTCCCAGTCCTGGTTGCACTACCTCAGACAAATTCTTATCACTGCTCCCAACCTCCGTTTTCTCACTTTTAAAATGGGCCCTTTGCAATATCCTCTTTGATGGTATTTATGAGAATTAAATAAGATAACAGTTTTATTGTTATAAGATATAGCTGAGTTCTTGCTACTCCATTAATAAATATCCAGCACAGAAAGACACACTGTATTTCTGTGACCTAACATCAGACCTTTACCATATAATCGAATTTTTCATATAATTATCCTGCCTTCCTAAAATATTCCTCATTTCTTTAAAATTAGACACCTCCATGGTTAAATCTTTTAAAATATATCAAACATGTCCCTGCTAGCTAAACGACAACTCACCATTAAACATTATTTATCTTCTTTTCAGAATGGCCTGGGGTCCTTACTCTATGTGTGTCCATCGGGGGGAGGGGACCAATCTCTTCAATAACTTAAACTTAATATCTTTAACTTATTTGCTGAGGAAGACATTGTATTGTCACATTATTTCTAAGATATTAGTCACGGCAACCTAACTTTGCAGATTGTCCCAGTTTCACAGATGAGAAAATTGAGGCTCAGAGAAGTTAAATAAAATGCCGATGGTCAGCCCCATGGAAGGCAGTGAAGATTCAAACCCAGATGGAGTCCCAATGCCTTGGTTCCTTGCCAGCCTATGGTGCAATCACATCCTCCACCCATGGCTGGATCCAAGAAGCTTTAGTTGTGTAATAAATGCTACTTTGCTTTTGTATCTGACCTTATAGTTTGTGGAGCTTTCTACCTTTCTTTAGTTAGTTGTTTGGCTTCCTCCTTGTAAGGAATTCTTGTTACATTCTGGTGTTTTTAACCTGTCCTACCTTGGGAAATGACATAAGCAAACGTTAAGGCCAGTTGGCTGTCAATGATCCTTCAGAAGTCTTCCCATAAGTGAGGTGCAATGATCTGGGGACCTGTTCTTTGGTTACCTATGGGCTCTTTTAGCTTCCTTCCAGCTCCCCAGCTGCATTTCAGATAATTGAAGTTGTTTAATTTATGAACTCTGAATACGGGGGATACTATTAGCCAACATGGACCTATATGTATTACAAAACAAAACGCCGAACTGTTGCTAGTTTCTAGTAAATGCCTGTTCTGTCCTACTGTTATTTTACAGACATTGCTTCTGTAAAACTCTGGAATGCAAGTGTTCTTGTCCCCATTTTCTAAGCGAAGAAATGGAGACTCAAAAGTTTCCACACATGGCCAACAGCGTTCTGTGAATAGTTCCCTTCACATCGACATGTATATGCCCAGCATGGGAGTTTCACTAAAGATTGATAAGCAGTGTGAGTTTCTTCATTAACTAAAGAGAATTATGAACACTTGCCCACTGTGTCAAACAGGCAGTCCTAATAATAATAATGCCTGGAGTTGGTCCAGCCCACACTGAATTGGTAAAGGTGTCTGCACTGCACACCTCCAGGGGGCAGCCTTACATTGTGTTCAACCTGGATGGAATTCCCAAGGGCACACACACTGTGCAGACATCTGGAATGGGGCCCCGGGACTGCAGCAGAGCAACCTTAATGGGAGAAGCCAGGAGGGTGTCACAGCAGTGCACCCTAGTACTGTCAAGTAAACAACAGTGAAAAGCCCCACAGGAAGGGCCAGCCATCAGACATGAGAAGTGCAGGTTGTCTCTTGGGTCTGAGATTTAAAACAAGGGTGACATGGTCTCAAATTCCCTGCCCTTCTCTCTTGTGGGGAGAAGGGAGAGATAAAATGCAACCTATAACATAACATTCTTTCTGGGTGATGTAGGTAGACTCTAACTAACCAGAATGTCAAAATCTGCTTCAAGTTTTTAATTGCCTAAGTTAAGTGAAGCCTTTACAAACTCTGCAATGTCTGGAAACCTCAGACAGAAGTGATCCAAATAAATCACATGGCCTTTGTCCAAGCAATCCCTGTTTCTAAGAATCTTTTCCAAACATTAGCCCACGGACTGGGACTGCGCCCTTGAGGGGCCAGTCATGCAGGGACTTCCCAGGCCACCAATGCCCCTCAGCTCTGAGAGGCCATCCTGCTATGGAGTGGCAGAGCAGCCAGCCAAGATTCAAACGCAGGTCTGTCTCTGGTCCCCGGCCCTGACAGTGCTGGGCCAGGCCATCATGTTCCATGTGGGAGTTTTTCAGTCCACACGCAGGGGAATTCTCCACCACAACCTCTGAGTCTGGTAGCTGCAGATGGAAACAGAAACGTAGTTAGAAAAATGTGATTCTTGCGCAGGAAAGTTGGAACAGAGAAGAGTTCAGATGTGGGCGGGTGTGTGTGTTTAAAAAAAAAAAAGAAAAAAGAAAAGGGTGGAAACCCCACCAGCCAAGTCTGCAGAAAAAAAATAAATGAAGTCTGCCTATCTCGAGCCAGAGCCCCTCCCCTCGGCCCGCGCCGGAGGAGCGTGACACAGGTGCCGCTTCCTCCCCGCGGCTGAGGGTCAGCAGCAGGCCGGCGCGACCCTCGCCCCCGCTCCGCTGCCCCCTCGGCCCCCGGTCCGGCCGGCGCCCCACACCCGTCGGCGATGAACAGCGTCAATGGCACGTCGCGGCCCCGCCTCGGTGAGTACCCGCAGCCCGCGGGGGTCCACCATCCGCGGGGTTCCTGGGGCCCCATGCCTGCCCGGGCCCACGGGGGCCAGGAGCTCGGGCTCAGCGGCGGGACCTCAGCCCGGGCCCCGCGGCGTCGCCGGGTCGTGGCCGGAGCCCCCGAGCCCGGCCTGGCTCTGCACCCCCGGGGCCTGGAGGGGCCGCCCGGCCACCGCCGCCGGCTCTCTACGTCTTTGTGCGGTGGCCGCCGAGTATCTGCCGCAGAAACTGTCCCCTAGACTAGTAAGTGAGGGACTTACTAGGAGGGAGGGGACGTCGCGCGCTGTTTGCTCGGCCGCCCAGGGCTCGGGGACGGGTTCGGAGTAAACTTCAGTAAACTCCGCTGTTGCCCTGACTCGCTCTCCCGGCCGCGGGGAGGGACACACACATGGCGGAGGCATAGGCTCAAGGCTTTGACCCTTTGGGCCGTTGTAATTCCTCTTTCTTTTTAAGACGGCACATGCTTTCCTGCTGACGGGAAATCGTATACCCTGAGCTTCTTTGTGAGGATGTTGGGAAACTTTGCGGGGCCTCCCCCGGCCCCTCCTCTGCCAGTGGGCTTTTGCAATAAAAAAAAAAAAACTAAGATTTCCTTTTTAAAACAGTGAATGTTCATCCCTTCTATCCCCACCCTGGCTAGATCTGGTCATTAGAAACTGTCAGACGGGAGACATTCTGAGTCTATAGCGAAATCGTGTTAAGTAATTAATATAATAATAAGGGTACTGGAGACACCCACTCGTTTACAGGTCTTTAAAATCCAGGTGGTTGTGTGGCCTCAGCAGAGGAACTTAAGCATAGTGGACTGTGGCTAGGTGCCTGTGTGTGCAGAGCCACGCATGTGCCCGGGAGGGTGCTCAGCTAGTCTGGGATGCAGGAGGACAGGAGTCCTGGAGTGAGGGCCCCGCTGCCTGCTGTGGGATCAGCGGTGCCACCTATTAGCCAGGGGCCTGCGACAAGCTAGCCTCTCCCTTAGCGCCAGCTTCATCGTCTGCAAAATGGGAGTGATAGGGTATTTCTCTTTGGGCTGTGAGAATTAAGAGCTTGTAAATGGCTCAGCACAGAGATTGACACATACTAAGGGCTCAATAAATGTCAGGCATCTTTGTTTTCATTTTACACTAGACTGGGTCCGGAAGCTCATGTGCATGAGTGCTTGCATGTGAGTTTCTGTGAGTGTGTGAATCAGACACTAGTGAACGTAGAGGTGTGTGTCCGGGCCAGGGTTGAAGGGCAAAGCCACGGTAATCATTCCAGTACAGGCGCTGGGGAAGTACAGGCCTGCTGCCATTCCTGTCTGGAAAGGACAAGCTTGCTCACCAGGAGCCCTGCCCCTGCCCCCACTCTCGGGCAGTTCTCTAAGATTCAGGTTTCAGACCTTGACCAATGGCTGCAGACACTTCCCTTCCAGAGCTCAGAGGGATACAGCCCTCACTTGCATACCATTCTAGATTACCCTTAGGACTTGATTTATTGCAGGCTCTTTGCTGTAAGAGAACTCTGGGGCCCTCTTTCTTGCTGTTAACTCAGGCAGGATGTGTCTATATCCTGTCTCAGTTTACATCACTGCTTCTCAGAAGCAGAGGTTGGAATGGAGAGGACCCTCTCTTCCTGCCCCACCAGGCCTGCCCTACCCCTCTGGCCTCAACCAACTCCCATAAGCCCAAATGCCACAGGTACTGCAAATGAGTCATGTGCAGAAATCCACTGCCTTGCCCTTGGATGGAAGGGGTCAATGCTCAGTGAGGAGACGGTCAGGTTTGTCAACTTTATATAGATTTCACTGCCTCTGGCAGAAGACGAAAGGATTGCATTAAGTGCCAAATGAAATTCCATCTCAACCATTGCTCAACACTTCCAGATATCCAAGGCAGTAGGAGTCACATGGCATTGGCACCATCAGCAGCTGGACCTTTCCAAGGGTGACCATGGTTGGACAACTATTTCTGGGGACTTGCAGCGCACCCTGGGAAACAGAGGGGTATGGGATAAGAGGCATTCTGTGTTTGCAGTGGAAGCGCATCAGCCCATCTACAATGAGAAGGAAGAGGCAGCTGGGGGAGGTTGGCAAGCCAAATCAGTTTCCCTCTTTGAATGGCAGATATACATACATATATCAAATGGCCTTCTGCGGCCCCAACCAAAGCGCCTTCCAGAGATTGTGAACAAAATGGGCCCAACAAGCACAAGCTAAAAACAAATTTGAACAATGAATCAAGAGTTAATAATAGGAAAGAGAAAAATACCATCCCACCTCGAGAGCAATTTATTGATTTATGAGAAGCCTACTAGAAGTATCATATGTATATACAATTACTTTTTGTTTTATAAAATGAAACTTATTTTATATATCCTACTTCATCTTGCTTTTTTTCATAAGAATATATGCTGAATATTATAATTAATCATCACATGTAGACTAACCCATTCTTCTCAGGGCTACATGCATAGTATGAATTGTATGAATATATGAATGAATTGGTTATTTTATTTAACCAGTTCTTTCACCAATGGACATTTAGATTGTGGACAGTCTTTCTTTGATTTTTTTAAAACCAGACATGGTGCTGCCATTATAACCCGTTGAGTAGGGTTTATGTGATTACACATATATGTGTAAATATATGTGTTTGTATATGATTAGGATAAATACACACACACACACACACATTTAATTTCTGGGACAAAGTGTGAACATTTAAAATGTTGGTAGGTACTAAAATATTGCCCTCTAAAAGGTTACATGAATTTCTAACACCCACCAGTAGCTAATGGAAGTCATTCTTTCCTCACACCCTCATTCATACTGGTCAGTTCACATCTTAGCAAATCTGATAAGTAAAACATGTTGTCACTTCTGAATGTGCCTCTGTAATTATAAGTGAGGTTGTGCATGGTTTCTGTTTGTTTGTTTTCTAAAGATTTTATTTATCTATTTATCTGAGAGAGAGAGAGCATGAGCAGCGGGAAGAATAGAGGGAGAGGGACAAGCAGACTCCACTCTGAGCCCAACATGGGGCTCAATCTCATGACCCTGAGATTGTGATCTGAGCCAAATCGAGAGTCGGACACTTAACTGACTGAGCCACCCAGTGCCCCCACATTTTAAAGATTTTATTATTTATTTATTTATTTATTTGAGAGAAAGAGGAGGTTGTGCATGTTTTCATACCTCCACAACATATTGTATTCCTTTTTCTGAGAAGTACCTGTTCATGGCCTTTGCCCATTTCCTATGAGGTCCCCCACGCCCAGGGAAGGAGTTTATGAAGTGTCCTCTCTCTTATAGTGACTTGGAGGCAGAGCAGGACTTGAGCCCTGCAGTCAGAACTGTGGAGTCAGACCTGGGTTTGGTCCCACCTCCAACACTTGCAGGCTTTGAGGAGGTACACAATATGTCAGAGCCTCAGTTTTCTCATCTGAAAGTAGGAATAATAACAGCTACTTCCCAGGAGTCATGTGATGAACAAGAGAATAAGGGCTTGGCATCATGCCCAGGAATAGTGGTATCTGTGGCTGTTGTTGTTAACAGAATTTATCAAAGCAAACCTGGCCTGCGGGTGCTGCTAATCTCTAGAGTCTCCCTTACAGACAGCTGCTGTTTTTGCTTTTGGTACTATAGTAAGAATATCAATTACTATATGCCAAGCCCTTTAGTAGGGCCTTGCGTGGGTCACCTCTCCACAGCCTGGTCCCATGGGCATTTTCTTAACTGTTTTGCAGAGGAAACACTGGAGGCTCAGGGGAGGCTTATCGCAGGGCTCCCAGGCACTGAGGGCACAGGGCTCTGGACATAGGCTGTCAGACCCCAGAGCCAGCAGAGGCCAGCTGAGGGGTGCTTAGGGTACATGTGGACAGGGCATTCTGCCACCCAGCACCAAGGGGGCTGTGCCTGGGAAATTACACTGTAGCTTTGTACACAGAGGAACTGTGTGTGGCACAGATCTTCAGAACCTACCAACCACCCCACGGTTCCTCAGCCAGGCCTGAGTTCCGACCTCAGTGTACCACTGCCCACTGTTTGTGTTTGGGCCTGACCCACACCAGGCCAGCAGCTGCCCTTCATCATGCCTTCCATAGCCTGCTAAGGCTATCCCCTAGAGCCTTCTGTTATGGCCTTTCCTGATGCCCAGGACTGCTCTGCCTCTCCAGCTTCACCTCCAGTGCTCTCTGGGTACTCCTGCACACACATATGCATGCACACATACACACTCATGTTCACACTCACATACACACACTGCCTGCCTGCCTCACTCCTGCTCATCTCTTAAGGCCTGCGTCATTCCCCTGAAGCTCCCTGGGCCCTCCCTGAACACTAGAAAACCACCCACTGTGGCCCTGAGGACACTGCGGCCCCAACAAATTCCTGGGTTTGTCCCTTTCCTGGAAATCCTGACCTCCCAAGGGACTCCATAACCCCGCCTGCCCCCTCCTTGGGGTCTGGCACAGAGAGGTGAATGCTCCCAGGCCTGTGTCCATTCCACACGCTAGAAACACCTTTTAAAAATCGTACACTCGGGCGCCTGGGTGGCTCAGATGGTTAAGCGTCTGCCTTCGGCTCAGGTCATGATCCCAGGGTCTTGGGATCAAGTCCCGCATCAGGCTCCCTGCTCCTTGGGAGCCTGCTTCTCCCTCTGCCTCTCTCTCTCTCTCTCTCTCTGTCTCTCATGAATAAATAAATAAAATCTAAAAAAAAATCCATATGAAATCAAATTAAAAAAAAAATCATACACTCAGTAGCTCCTAGTCCAGAATTTGGCATATACATAGAGGTCAGTGAATAATAAGTTAAAATGCACAGAAAGTCAAAACAAAACAAACTCTAAGACCAGGGCTGCTGGCCCCAGCACTCACCACCTCGCTGTTTCCCACTCCCGCACTGATTCTTATTTCAAATTCTCCCCGGACACCCCAACATCTTTGCCTAGGGTTTTCTTGGGATCTTCATGTAATCTGAACTTCTGAGGGAGTGC